TTTAAAATAACGAATATTTGTTTGTACAGGGTGGAACAAAATGTTTTGTCATGGCTTCACCAGCTGATTCTACAGCTTTTAATCGGTGAAGATCTGTAAAAAAAAGTTGCCGCAAAATTGACCTTGACGGAAAATTTCAAGGACAAATTTTTTTTTATTGCATCATATAGTACTCACTCGATAAAACAAAAGTCTCAAAGGCACCATAGGTCGCAAATGAATCCTTCACTTGGAAAAACAATGTTGAAGATTTCACCATTATTTCAGCGAATATTTCTTACGGTGTCACATTACATATCTGTAGTAGGGTATACTTAGATGTAAAATTTGACTTTCAGATAGTTCTAGCATGTTGTGACGCTTAGATATGCTCACAGGAATGCCAATAATCACAGTAGTTTCTGATCTCTTGTGTTGTGGATATCGTATAGTGAGTTATGGATACAAGAAGAAATAGAAGAAATTATTTCTATCGGTATGATGTTCGTCAAATGCTTCGTGCTATTGATGAAGCATTTGGGAATTATGCCTTAGCTCGCAACATATATCGGAATTATTTAGTTAATAGCGGACAAGAACATTCTCGATATCTTCCTGATAGACGTGATTTTCAAAGACTTGAGGAACGCTTTCAAGACTTGGAAGTCACTATCAATCGTGGATATGGAAGGGCAGAACGACCGCGCGTTCACTGGTGGAAAGAGGAGCGCATTATTGCACTTGCATATGCTTATCCCGTTATGGGTTTACGCAATATTGCACGTCGGGTTGGCGTTTCCCATATGACTATCCATCGTATTATTCGTGATGAAGGACTACGTCCATATCGTGTTCGGAAAGTGCAAGCACTTCAAGAAAATTAGATCGCGATCCACAATTTCTTGAGAATGTGTGTTTCACAGACGAAAGTAACTTTTCCAACATAAGTCACCAAAATTCGCAGAACACTAGAATCTGGGCACGTAGAAACCCACACGCGATGATTCAAACATTTAATCAAGGCCGTTTCTCAATTAATGTGCGAGGAGGAATCATTGGGAACCATATTATCGGTCCAATTTTTTTTCATAACTCCTTAACTGGAACACGTTACCTTAATCAACACGTTATCTTAATTTTCTTCGCACGCAATTCATAACACAGCTGAGACAAGTTATACCACATCATAGACGTCGTCAAATTTATTTTATGCATGATGATGCCCCACCGCATTTTATTAGACCGGTACGTGAGTTTTTATCAGAAATTTTTGGAAGTAGGTGGATAGGTCGTAGACCAGCACCTCATTTGTGGCCGCCTCGCTCTCCCGCTCTTACACCTATGGACTTTTTCAGTAAAGAATCTAGTTTACCGGTCAGGTCAACAAATTAGAAGTATGGAGCAATTGAAATTGCGAATAAAAAACGCTTTTCGCCGTGTGGAGCATACTGCCAATATTTATGAAAAAGTTTGCAACAATTTAAAAGAACGATTGAAGACGTGCCTACGCAATAATGGTGGACATATCGAAGCCGGTAATCAAGCACGATTGTTAAGGTGCATAAATGTCGATGGTTCTATACTGTGGCAAAGAAGAAACCGCTCAAGACGCAGAGGACAACCCTAGAAACGGTTAACCTCGTTTTCCAAGTGAAGGATTCACTTGCGACCTATGGCGCCTTTGAGACTTTTGTTTTATCGAGTGAGTACATCGTAATGCAATAAAAAAAAATTGACCTTGAAATTTTCCGTCAAGGTCAATTTTGCGGCAACTTTTTTTACAGATCTTCACCGATTAAAAGCTATAGAATCAGCTGGTGAAGCCATGACAAAACATTTTGTTACACCCTGTACTTTATAAAATGACACATCGTAGTTACAGACTTCATAAGAGTGTTGTACTTTGCTTGTGGAAAGCTGACGATAGAATCATCTCTATCTAAAAAAATATTCTCCACGAAAACTTAAAATAAGGAGTGCGATGTTGTTGGGGGTGGACAAGCGACATCTTAAAATTGACTATTAGATTGGTTCATAAAATACAATATTAATAGAAGGGGACTAGAACCGCCCTTACAAGATGTTTGTACTGAGGCCAACTTTAACCTGAAGTGTCGACTACACTGTCGCTCGTCACCTAACGGTTCAACCGTAATAAACCATAAAGTATGCTCTTGACAACAATTTGGAATTACAAATTGTTCGTAATAAACCGCTGCAAAAGGCAACGGTCATTTGTTGAAGAACATTAAAAAGAAATAAAAATATGGTCTTACGATTTTAAGAGTGCGTCCCAACAGCTAGTTCCGTGTGACGCACCTGAAAAATAGATCCTAATGGGTTCAAAGATCGAAGTACGTTTGAATGATTTTCTTTAACAATATGCACACATTCCTAATTGAGGTGTTACTTAGATCTGTCAAGGGAATTCTGACAACTTGTAGCTGCTTAACATCTCTCGAATTACTGTAAATCAGATTAATGTCGTATCACCAAAATACGCGCCGAATGTTGTCAACTCCAGATGTATTTTGACTTGCATTTACACACAGTAATTCGCTTTACGCTCGAGTTTGAACTCTCCAGAAAATTATAGAGGTTGGTTTGCGGCGGCGTCGACCAAGCTAATCCCACCGTATAATTAACCACTAACAAGCGTCCTGAGTTCTACTGCTAATCTACGTTATAACCTATAGCTAAATCTGTCAGTACATGTATCCACGAATGCAGTGGAAAAAGTTGTAGGATAGGAGGGTAAGGAGAAATAACACTCGAGTACGTTTTAATAAAAGAAAGAGATTAACAATATATATATTTAAGAATACACACAAAGAAAGACACACAAAGAAAGACACACAACACTTCGGACGGCACTGCTTTCCGTCGAAGCTACACGCAAGAGAGTAAAATCACGATTGACCCGCAAGTCTTTCGCACGCGCCAACGCCGTTAAAACAAAATACGATCGCTGATGGAAAAAAACCCATGTTAACGGTCATTCTATGGAAAAAACCATGACAGCACGTGGAAATAATCCTACAAAGTGTATACATTAATTCTTTGTTTGGCAATCCCTGAGAGCATATTATTGAGTTGCGCTACCGCTCGAGCAGTTGATACAGTGCAATTTTTTAGTCACTGTGTATACTTAGCAGTTAATTAGATCTATTAGTGAAGGAAGGAGATTTGTATTATAACTCTATTAGAGTGAGATGTTTGAAGATCATTACTTACTTGTTTATTACGATTGAACATACCGATGGTTCAGAGTCAGAAAAGTTAACCCCTTACCCTATAACTACGTGTTACACGTGTGACGCACACTACGGAATGTGATAGACTCGTATTTTCAATGCAATTAAATTTTGGGTTCAATGCTAGTTACCATCTGTATCATCAAGGATCGCTGAAGACAAAACGTGGCAAACATTTTAATGTTCTTTAGTTGTCTCAACGTTGTAGCAATAATTAGGTAGCCATGAATGACGTGGTTGCTCAGAAAATTATAACTTAAAGGGTTAACTCTAAAAACCGTAGTTGTTAGAGTGAGACAAGAGTATGTCTAGTTAGCATTCTTTGACTTTCGATTTTCTTAAAATCAAAACTTTTAATTTATTCATTTTTTTCATAATATTTTTGTAGTCAAAACGTACGACTTTCGGAAATCTGTCATTAACATAGGCAGTGAATTTTTAGAGTTAACGTTGTCTGACTCCAAACACTCGTCCGTGTACATTGATATTAGCAATTGCATTTCAACAATTTTCGTTTAATAGAAATATTAAATTATTTATACTGAGTTTGTAATCAGTCTCGGGACACTTTATGAAACTTTGTGTCATGAATTAGTTTTACTGCTCATTAAATTTTGTGAAGACTGGGTAAGTTTTGATGCTCCGTTTATATGATTATTATATGCAGACGTTTCCGTATAATGACTTTTTATGGGGTAGGTTATGTCTTCTCTTTATAGAGTGCGTTGACACAGTGTATTGATTTATACATTTTTTATGGACCATATGATACAGTGTATCAACTATTTTTAATCGGATTCTTATCTTTCATTTCTATAATAATGGTTCAAAATCATGTTAAAAATTATCGATTTATTTACAAAAATAACAATGTTATACAGTATATTAATATAAATCTAAAATACATTTGATGTTACATTTTATTATGTCACGTTTTAGGTATAAAATGAAATATAAATGCTGGATCTATAATTATTTTATTCCACACAAATTAGAATCACAATTAAATTAAAGTTGACGTATTTTAACGTACGAATAAGTATTTTTATACCATAAAAAATATAAATAGAGAATATTCTTTTCTTCAACCACAGTCAAATTTATCAAATTTAATGGACATAACATCGATAACTTTATTTAATTATTCTAATCAAATTTCACCAACTAAATATAATTCTAACAGATACATCAAACTATATTTCAAATTAATTTCAAACTGAACTCAAATAATTTCACTGAAAGCGTTTGAATAAATTCGACAAAATACATATTTCTTCTTAATAATAATATTTTTCCGATACTGATTTTCATCAGTAAACATTAATATCGCAGTATTTAACGTGTTTAAACACTGTATCTAACGGAGTATCTCTGTGTATAGTCACTTTTACGATCTAGTTACAAAACGTTCGTGACTAAATGCTCGGTGTAAATATCTTTCACCGACGTACACGTTTAAAAACTAAAAGCTCTTTGCATCCTGAGCTTGAGATTTTACCGCCATTCGTTTGTGAATGTTCCATGCTCTGAATCATTCTATAATACTTTGGCAAGAATGCACACATCGCAGTACAGAGTCGCGTTAATATATATTTTGAAGCGTTAATATATTCGACATAGCTTAAAGCTCGATAAGCGTTTCTGTCTTTTTGTAACACATAAAACTGGGGGAGTGGGACCTATGACATTGCACATAACGAATAATTACTAAAGAATGAATATGTACATTTATTTAATTTTGTAAATTTTCCCTTCTTTTTGTTGCAGGTTGGATGATGAAAAGCTGGATGTCATTAATGTAAGTAATTTATTATTAATTTTAGTTATAATCACTGTCCACGAATCGATTAATTATTATTATTTACGTATCCTTAGTTTCATATCTGTTTCGTATTTTTAGTTTTATATACAAATAAACCACTATTTTCTGGTAATAAGCAATCATGTTTAAAATCAACCTATCGTTGATATTTCAAAAATGGCGGACGTCACAATATCTAAACTGAATTTCACTAATTTTACCAATCTAACAAGGAAACATATCGAACCGGGACACACCGATTTTAATGAAACTTATATGAAAGATAGTTCTTAAGAAAATATTTGACACGTACTTTTTTTATCGGCCATTGTTCACATTGAAAGGGTGAAAATAGCTCTCGAAGTTAGGGGTTAAAATCATATTTTTGGGAATATCTCCGGAATTAAAGAAGATAATTTGATTCTTTTTTTTTGTAAATTGTTCGTCTTTAAATAGGGAACTTTAGTGCGGGAAAAAAATTTAAATAAACTTTATTTGTTTAAATAATATTTTGAAAATTTATAATTTTTGTTTAAATTTTTGCACTAAATGTTGATCTATTTTTTTGCAACTTCGTGTACGTAAACTATGGGCAAAAATAGAGGATACGTGTTTTTGCAATTTGTTGTTTGTTGCAATGTTTATTAGATATATAATTTAAAATCACCTCTTGTGAAAAGGGGCAATCAGCACTTTTATTAAAAATATCATTATTTTTACAATCTTTTACAATATTTTAGACATTTTATACGTCTTCATATGCCGTTAAGTGATTTCTGAATAATTATTGTAAGCGTTGCAGGTATGAGCGCGACGCAGTTATAATCACCGTCGCAAGGAACATGAAGAGGTATATGAAGAGGTATAAAATGTCTAAAATATTGTAAAAGATTGTAAAAATAATGATATTTTTAATAAAAGTGCTGATTGCCCCTTTTCACAAGAGGTGATTTTAAATTATATATCTAATAAACATTGCAACAAACAACAAATTGCAAAACATTGCAACGAACAACAAATTCCAAAAACACGGATCCTCTATTTTTGTCCATAGTTTATGTACACGAAGTTGCAAAAAAATAGATCAATATTTAGTGCAAAAATTTAAACAAAAATTATAAATTTTCAAAATATTATTTAAACAAATAAAGTTTATTTAAATTTTTTTCCCGCACTAAAGTTCCCTATTTAAAGACATTCCCTATTCAAAGACCAACAATTTACAAAAACAGAATCAAATTATCTTCTTTAATTCCGGAGATATTCTTAAAAATATGATTTTAACCCCCAACTTCGAGGGCTATTTTCATTCCTTCAATGTGAACGATGGCCGATAAAAAAAATACGTGTCAACTATTTTTTTAAGAACTATCTTTCACATAAGTTTCGTTATAATCGGTGTGTCCCGGTTCGATATGTTTCCTTGTAAGGTATTTACATTTAAGCGTGTCATCCTCTTTGGCGGTTCGACTAGCTATGTTAGGGAGGCTAGGAAAAGTAAAGGAGAGGAAGTACGTTTCGTTCGGGGCCTGCTAGTGGACTCATCAGTAAGACGTTCTAGCAGGCCCTTGCCTTAGCCGCGGGGATGTAAAAAAGGGATAGACAGGAACTATATACATATATGAATAGGAAGGCTCTTTGAGTACTAGCGAGAAAGTCTAGGTCTTGATTCTATGCGCCGTCTAGTGGCGATGAGCGTGGAAGTGAAACCGCCACATCCTCCATATTAATAAACTGTAATAAGTTGTAATTCTAGTTTCTTGCAAACATGTTTAAAACCAAAATTGCTACTGTCGCTACAACTTGTTATAAAAGCTGAGAGCACTTGAGGAATAAATTACATTTTCTGCAGAATCAGATACTGAAATATTTTCTATTATATCTGGTACAAGAAATGTTATATTACATATTATTTGATGGATTTGCGGCCATATTTACATTTCTATTATCACGGTTGGTGATTTTTTGTTTATTTTTTTACCAGCAAAGGTAAAGTCTTGGACGATAAAATTCTTATGTTGTATATTATTCAAATTACTATTTATATGAATATTACGTATTTCGCTCATACTCGTATTACTCATTGAGAACTACATAACTGTTCTACGCAGTAAAATATACAATAACTTTATTAATATAATCAGTACATGATATGTACATTATTATACATTAAAACAAGCACATTATACAGTAAAATACACAATAACTCTCTTGATATAATTAATACATAAATATAATAAGTGTATTACGCAATTAAATATACCATAACTGTATACACATGTATATGGTCATACAGATGAAAAATTCTATTACACTCAGCACTGTTTTTTATTACAATATCCTTGTATTTATATAAATATAATTTACTTTAAACTTAAAAAATGTACTAACTAACAAAATCGACAACTTTTCAGCCAACTCACTACACAATACAATTTTCAAAATCAATTTTTTCACAAGAAAATGTTATTCATCTTCTCGACTTATATTTTAATATACATAATATTAATATAAATGTAGATGCGTTAATAAAAATGTTAACGTAGAATATGTTACCGCCCAGAAGCTCGAACCACAATTTTTGGTACAGCCTGTACGAAGGGTTAATTTAGTCCGTAGTAGGTTGTCCGTTGCCGTCATCAGGACCATCTCTCCCGAAATTACCCTGCTCCTAATTATATCAGTTTTCCCTATATCCTGATAGTCATATGCGGATCGTGGAAACTGGAAATAGAGCATGATAAACGGACGCGTTCTGCGTCGTATCAAACGTTACCGGCGTCATAGCAGTCTAATGCACTGCGCTGCATTGCGAACATAGCTGTATGCGCTAAATAACCGGAAATTACCGGGAGCATTTCAATCAGAGCACCCGGCAAGCTTCGAACACACGGGGCTATCGTTTACTCCGCATAATGGCTAGTCATATGATAATCTCCGATTCGAACCAGAGAACAACCCCTGAAAACCGATTGCTTCGCTCTCTGACAAACCTCCCGCCATGAACGGCATTGATCGATTGTTGGACACCGTGGAAAAACATTTTTGTACCATTTACTACGGTTGTAGCTTTTAATACTGGCCAGAAATTGACACAAATTTCTTCACATATTTCAGATTCGTGTACGGTTAGGAGTTGTGAAGTTAGGGAGGTGGGAATTTAGGAATATGGGAATTTGGAAATTTGGGAATGTGGGGATTTTGGGATTCGGGATTTGTAGGATTCGGGATTTGTAGGATTCGGGATTTGTGGGATTCGGGAATTTTGGAATTCGGAAGTTTTGGGATTTGGCAATTTTGTGATTTGGTAATTTTGGGATTCGGGAATTTGTGGACTTGGGAATTTCGGAATATGGAAATTAGGGAATTTTAAGAATATGAAAATTAGGGAAAGTAGTGAATTTGGGAATTTGGAAACTTGAGAATTTAGGAATTTGAGAATTTGGGAGTATGAGAATTTGGACACTGGGGAAATTGGAAATTTGGGAATTTGAAAATTTGGAAACTTGGAAATTTGAGAATATGGAAATTAGAGAATTTTCAAGATATAGAAATTAGGGAAATTTGGGAATTTGGGAGTTTGGGAACTTGAGAATTTGGAAACTTGGGAATTTGAAAATTTGGAAATTTGGAAATTTGGGAATTGGAAATTAGAGCGGTAAACAAATAACTGTGGACCACAATTCAAAATAGCTACAAATTACTAACTGGAAAACCTGATCCAGAAAATGTAAAACTATTACTATTTAATCACCATGAAATAAAAATAACAGATAACTGTGTAGAAACCCAAATAACCGAAGTTTTGCCACATCAACCAAGTGATTTATTTAAAAGGCCAACTAATTTTATCTTTCGCGAAGTCTGCTTGTATGTATAACTTAAATTTGATTGACAGTGAATGTATTGAAATATTTAGATACTTCCGTTTGAAGAAAACTTCACCTGTCTTACTATATGGGACAACACAGCACAAACTATTTTGGGTAGCCAATATTTGACATATAAATTGAATGAAATTTGAGAACGGTGATAGATCGCAATGGAGGATCATGAACGAAACGTTAATAGAATCATTCAGTCAGAATTCATGCATCACCAACGCTTGCTGATTAATGCAAAAAATTTTCGTTACGATACGACTCTCACTCGGCTCCGTTCTGTAAGTCGAATAATTGCCGTCTGTCACGTTAAATGAATTTAATTGCATTTGAAATTTAAATAGGACCGGACATTTGCATATAATACCGACATCTAACTAGCCGTATAAAAGTCGATAAAGCTAGTTTTCTGTTCTTGACTATTCTATTTTCGATGCTTAAATTTTCAATTTCTAAATTTTCCTTTAATTAAAAATTCATGTTAGTAATTAACTCCTAATCGTGAATGTATATGTATTTCTTAAGTTTTATTTTTTTTTGTTTTTGTTTTATTTAGAAAATTTGTATATGCACTTTTGAATAATCACATCAGAGATTATTGAAATGTGACGAATTTTTTTTCCACGCGAAAATGTGATTGATAGCTTTAATAGTGCTATCAACAGTCTACAACGTTAAAATAAATTTTAAAATCTACACACGTACTTAATGTGTACCTCATGGAATGTCTGATCTTAAATTTCGTGTATGTGCTTCCCCTAGGTCAATTTCGCAGAGAGCATACCAAGGAGGCGTGGAAATTGTCAATAAACGGTTGAAAATGGTTTTCCAAAATTTCCCTGTACCATCTGTGCACCACATTACGCACGAAGTGCAAGTATAATTCTGTTGCACATCCTTGGTTTGGAAAACATGCCCGCAATTCCGAAATCATAGTTTGACGCTCTTGAGAGTTTACATGTTAGTTTTAACACATAAAATATTTTGCATATCGTAGATTTACTGTTTGTTGCTGTCTTTAACAAGATTGTAATTGTACTGTATTTTACCCAGGGTCAGTAGGCCAATTATTTTTAAAGTTTGGAGAACAATTTTTGAAATTTGGAAATTTCGGAATGTCAGAATTTAGAAGTTAAGAGATGTGGGTTTTTGAGAATGTTTAAGTGAAAAAGAGAATTCTAGAATTTGGAGATTTAGTAACTTGGAAATTTGCAGATTCAGAAATTTAGGAATTTGGAAATTTGTTACTTTGAAAACTTGACAGTTTGAATATTTGGTATTTAAGATACTTGAATGTTTTAGTGTTTGGTAATTTGCAGAGTCTTACATTAAAAATTTTAAATTTATGAATTTGATAAATTTGAAATTTGTAAATTTAGAAATCCAAAACTTTCGAATTTGGAAATTTGAGAAATTATGGATTTTGTAATTTGAGGATTTGAAAGTTTTCAAATTCTGAATTTGAGAATTTGAAAAATTAGTAATTTGGTAATTCCATGATTCGGGAATTTTCAAATTTTTAAATTTGCAAATGCATCTGAGAATTTAAGTATTTCGAAATTGAGAATTTGAATATTTCGAAAGTAATTATTTTTAGAATTTCGGAAATTTCCTACTTTGGGCTTAAAGAATTTTTTAAATTTCGGAATTTGTATGTGAAAATTTGGAAATTTTGAAATTTATATTATTGAAAATTGGAGAATTTCATATTTAGAAGAAGACTTTGGGAGTTCAGAATTTTTATAATTTGAAAATGTATCTATTATTGTTACAAAAATATTTATATTAGTTTTAATTAATCAGCAATATTTATTCATATAAATTAACACCAAATACCAAAATTACAAGAAAAAATTCCAAATTAATATTTGTAATCAGTAAAGACCAATACCTATGTAACAACGTTGAGTGAATATAAAAAAAATAATCTTAAAACTGTAATCACTTAATACAAATTTTGAATTAACATTTTGCACGTCTGAACCGTGTTCTAAGAAGTTGAGTGAATACTAACAAATGTTTTACGTGTGTTTACAATAATAATACAGCTTAATTGAATCTAATCCATGTTTCTTAATCTATTTCAGAATACCATACTACCGGAAGCTGTACACTTTTGGGAGCGAGCTCTTATGGTCCGTGAAACGAAGGGCACCATCAGATTGAGCAGGTAACCTAATTCTTCGATTCATTAACAATTTGATAAACTATTAAAAACTGAAAAAAAACTATAACTGCTCAAATATTAAAAAGGTGAACACATACTTTATTTTAAAAAAGCAGGATCCTCTTAACATTTGTAAAACGATTCCAGTTAGAGTTTAATGGTCATCATTAACTCTTGATGGTCATATTGGGATATGAAATGACACCAGCTAGTTTAACGTCAATTTTAGCCACTTTATACCCCGGAAATCTAAATAAATACCTTTTTTGAAACATCAATATTTTTATTATTTTTGTCTGAAAGCTGTTATATCTCAACAGTGTTCAGCTGAAATTTTCGCCCATTATATTAAAATCGAACAAATTTTTTGTGAAAACCGTCATTTTTTCAACTTTTTTACATTTCTGAATTTTTTCCATATTCAACGTTTAAATTTACTGAAAATTTACTGTGAAATATATTACAACAACTTTCAAAGATTATTTATAATTATTTTCTGGGGTCTTGAACGTTCCAATATACCAAGTATGTTATTCTTATACAAGATATGATCATTAACCAGTTAAGTGTGTTTGACGACTATATCCGTCATGGAGATGTGGCAGAATTTTGTGTCATGACGACTATATCCGTCATGCGTAAAATGTTGTTACAATTTTAATATGTAAATTGTAATTTTGGCGAAAACTAAATTATATTCGTAAATTGTAACATGTTTAATATGTTTAGAGGTCAACACGAAATGAAATAAACAAATAAAAAGTGTAAATGATTTGAGATGGATTCATAAATTCTTGAGAGCTAACTCGTCATCGCTTGATTATCGCGCCCGCTGGTGTGGGGTTTACAAAAAGATTGCTACAGTTAACTGGTTGAAGGTTAAAACAACTTGAAATATTTTTTCAAATAATTTCTAATTTAGAAGATAATTGCGTAGATAGAAGAAAACGAGGTACATGAACGTAAAACATTTATGATTTGTAATATTATAGCAATGTATTATTACTTGTATGAGGCAAAGTGTCACACGTGAATTTCTATTATGTTTCAGGAAATGTGAAAGTAGTCAAGTCTTCGTTAAAGATCACCATACACATTGCATAGACACCTGTCGTTCTACTACTATGTGTGGTGACGTAGTCGTCCCTGAAGAACATCTTGATGTAAGAAATAACTTAATTACTTTTTCTAACGAAATTATTAATAATATAAATAATATTTATAGTACTCAAAATATGAACGAAAAATGTATTTCTGCACTTTTTGTGATTTGATATATTTTTTTTAATTTCTTCATAATTAAATTCTCCATGAATTTATTTAACTCACAATTTCATTACTAATTTGAAAGAAATTAGTATTTGAAGGCGTTCTTTGATCACTAATTAAAAATTTGAAATTGAAATTCAAATTGTACACTGAAAATAAAATCTAAAATGACAGTGTAGGAACTTTCAAATTTCCAAATTCCTAAATTTCTAAAATCCAAGTTCCTAAATTTCGAAACTCCCATTTCCATATTCTCAAAATTTCCAAATCTATTAACATTAGAATTCCCAAATTCTTAAATTCTCAAATTTCCCTAATTTCTATATTCTCAAAATTCCCTAATTTCCATATTCTTAAACTCCCAAATTCTTAAATTTCTAAGATTTCCAATGTACTAACTCCTAAATCCCCATATTCTCAAATTTCCAGATTCCCAAAATTACCAAATATCCGAATTCTCAAGTTCCCTAATCTCCCAATTCTTGAATATTCAAATTCCCAAATTCCCCAACCCCAAAATGTCCACATTCTCAAATTTCCAAAATTCTCAGAATCCAAATTCCTAAATTCTCAAACTTACAATTTCTCAAGTTCTAAAATTCTCAAATTCCCAATCTCGAATATTCCTTATTTCTTCAACCTCACTTTCATAAAAAGTTTACTTCACCAATTCTGAGGCTGTGCAATTATGCAATCAGTAAAGCCCATTACTTCCGCAACTCATCTTGTGTGACGCTTACATTAAAACCTGAAACTAAAACATGCAATATATCCGTATAATTATATAGGTTTGCAGAACATGTAATGCAACAGGACACAACTGTGGAATTGCGGAGGGCAGTAAAGCCGGCCCAGGAATAGATGGCGCTGATTTTGTTTTTTATGTATCTGCAATGCAAACAGCAAGATGTAACAAAGGATTAACCGTAGCTTATGCAGCGCATTGTCAGCAAGAAGCAGCATTAGATCGGTAAACTAATCACCCACTTATTCTCCATTTCACTTGAAGCAAATAATAATTCTGTTCTTTAACCTTGCGATTCTAAACATTTATAATTCAATCGCGGTCTAAAATGTATACTAATTTCGAAGTGCTGTAACGCTAATTTTTGCAAATTATATGAGCATAGGATTTTGTCAAACAATAGGTTACACAGATCATTTAGAATAAAAAGAAAGCTATCTAACTATTTCCTTTAATTATGATCATACATATATAAAATGTATTGTATTAAAGGACGAATACAAAGAATATTTTTATGTTAAAATATTTCTTCAGGGGTTTCAAGTTCGCTGATGTTTTTTTTCTGACAAGAAGTTTTTGTACTTAATTTTTATTTCGGAAATCAGATGTTATACGAAATATTATGCTATGCTATACATTTCTGAGTGCATTTTACTGCACCGTAATCTATAATATGATAAGCGGAAAATTATATGCTTACATAAAAGAAATTATTAGTGACAACCAATGACAATTTAAAATCCCTCGACAACTTAGCACAAAAATATTTTTCACATGTCGTTTAAGTTGTACACAAAATGTTTGTTGTATATTAAGTAATTGTAGTATATTGTATACAATGGAAAGAAATATTTAAGTATGTATTAGATGTAAACAAAATTGAATTGTGTACAAAATGCGTAATGTAAAAATTCTATTTAAGACAATTTTATTTTTATAAATTTAGATTTGAATAAAATAATAATATTAAATTGAAAAATATTAAACAGGAAAGTGATTATAAAAAGATCATTTTTTATTTGAATCTTGTAAAAAATCGATTTTTTTGTTTAAAATATTTGAGAAACAAATTCGATATTTTCTAGACCAATTGCGGGACACGCCAATTTGTGTCCTAAGGGTATAACCACGAAACCACAAGAACTGGAAACTCTGTTAAGTACCGTAAAACACGAGATATTGCATGCCTTGGGATTTTCTGCAAGTCTGTACGCTTTCTACCGAGATGAAAACGGTGAACCCAGAACACCAAGGAGAAGTGATACAGGAAAACCGTTGTTGAACGAAAAGTGAGTAAACATTTTTCGTTGTTTTTAATTTAACCTTTAACTACTGCAAATATTAAAACTTGCATAAATATTATGCAGAATCTGACATAAATAATCATTATCGCGTCATTACATAAATATATACAAATTATGTCGAATAAACATCAATAATTGCATTTCCTCCCAAACTACAAATTAACAGTAAACAATTACATTTTTCAACTCGACAATTGTGTTTAAAACAATATATTATTAATAATGAACCATTCTGAAAATTTGGACATTCGTTGACCAATTTAGTTTAATAAAGATTAATCCTTAATTGATAATAAAAAAAGTCATGGCTTCATGTTCAAAATATGAGAAAACTTATACTTCTCAAGTTTTCACGATGTTAATAATAATAATTATGATTATTCAAAAACAGTTCTTGACTCCCAAATGTTTTGCCCAAGTGACCAATACTATTCAAGTATTTATAATTTAAAAAATTTGTTTAATTAATAATATTTTGTGGCGTACAAATTTTGTATTGACACTTAAAATTCAGTATATCAAAATCTCAACGTTCCAAATTTCGAAAATTCCAAAATCTGAAAATTCAATTCCAAAATTTATAAAAGCTAAACGTAGATTCTTGAAAATTGACAAAACAAAAGAAAAAATAACTTTTAATATTTTTTAAATAAAACTTCTCTGTTAATAAGGAAATGTAACGTTTGGTATTTGTTACGTGCAGATTACAAACGCATCAATGGAGTGAAAATACTATTAAAACCGTAATCCGACCGCATTGGCAAGTACATGATGGTTATATAGAAAGGTCTATGCAAATAGTAGTTACTCCCAAGGTTCGCGCCGAAGTTCGAGCTCACTTCAATTGCCCGGAATTAGAGGGTGCAGAGTTGGAAGATCAGGGAGAAGATGGTACGGCACTGACACATTGGGAAAAACGAGTATTTGAAGTAAGTCGTCATTTCACAACATTCGTATGTACCGAACGGATAAATCGTTTTCTTAACTTCATTTATAAATTATTAATTAACCCTTCCTAAATTAGAAATCTTCAAATAATTATCATACAGATGAACGAATCAAAGTTTCAAAAATTATTTAAAATAAAATATAACAAATGAAAAATTAAAACATTTCTAGTAATTGTCACGAATATATTTGTATAATATTAACAAAGTATTTCACTTACAAGTTTTATTATCTAATTAGGTATGACTCAACAAATGTGAACTACATTAAATATACTTCCCCCATTTTGTTAGTAAAAAATAATTTTTCTGACGAAAGTGATAGTTGCGAGACTACGACTAACATTTATAAACGTTAAAAACGTTCTATCAAAATAATTTTGCTTACATTGTAAAATATATACGAAATATAAATTTTATTTTAGAATGAAGCAATGACAGGGACTCATACTCAAAATCCAGTTTATTCGAGAATAACACTCGCCCTCATGGAAGATACAGGATGGTATAGCGCAAATTATTCAATGGCTCAAGAACTAGGATGGGGTAAAAATCTTGGTTGCGATTTTGCAATGAAATCGTGTAAGGAGTGGATATCTTCAAAATCATCTAGATTGTCGTATGTATCTTTAACAAAAGTGGAATTTAGAGATCCTATCCTCAGTAACTTTGACCTTCAAATATTATTAAGATCATTCTCATAAATAACCTTCAAGAAGATTTAACCCTTACTTGTTGTTTGTTAAGTTATTGACAAAAATATTATAATTATTATCTGCTCTTAATGTACACATACAATGATCTTGATTTTTACATATGTTGTGAAGCTCTATATGTTGTCATCAGTCATTTTTTATTAAGAAATTATAAAAGAAGAGGAAACTATGGTAGCTATATTGTAGTGGAACATCTTATACTATTAAAGATAAAGTATAGATATAATAGATTAGATTGTTTGAATAGAAATACACCTATGATATAGTGGTAATATAGTGGTGGAATATCCCACATTAAATTATATTTTTATGTAATATATTACATATGCATATTGCTACAAAATATATTCCTATGATATAGTGGTTTCATATGTGTAGGTCAAGGTCATTGGATATGGGACAATAATTTAAATTTAATTTTATACTCTATACTTTTTCATTCCTATAATCTTACATCAATTTTAATTAAAATACCATTGAAATAAGAACAAGTGAAAAGAGTCTGAATGTACATATAATATTAATTGAGCATGTTCAAAATTGTATAAATAAAAAGTACACTGAAGCATTGCCAAACCAAAAATTCCTTACAAATAATATTAAAATAAGATATTACATTATGTCAATTTTTCAAAACTTCTTTTATAAAACATTATGTGTATAACATTGCTAATGAAATAATTATTGTTCACAGAGGAAAGTCTATTCATCCATTCTGTAATAAAGTAAAGCAAGATCCATTACAAACAGAATGTACCGATGATCGAAGTTCGGTAGCACTCTGCAATTTAATTAGATATCCAGAACCATTACCAAAAATGTATCAGGTACAACATTACACGTTTTATTTTGAAATTAATTAAGATATACTTTTAAATGTTAGTTCCTATTCCAAAACTACTATCTATATATTCTGTATTTACTTAAGTTGCTTAATTGTTTTTTTTGCTAAAATTGCAAAATTTTATAATAAAAAATTAAAAAGTTAAAATAACTAAGGCCTAAGCAATAAAACTACAAAGACTACTTTTTGCTTATCAAAATTTTAGTTATTGATAAAATATATCCAAATGTATTGCTTATTAAAGTTGTGATTAATAGTAATTTTCATTCGTGTTTACTAACATTGACTGTTGTATAAATATTCCTCTTATAAATAAAAAACACTTTCACTTTCCAAAAATGGCACTTACAGCCTCGTTTATTTCTACTTTTTAACTGATCACAAATTGTATGTGCAATTGTATTTTATATATTTTAATAACTTAATAATGGCAATTTATTCTGAAATAATTCTATTCTTGTAGAATTTCGATTCGATTCCTCACATACCAGCTGGAGAAGAACAATACTATGGAGGCTCTGTATCTCTTGCAGATTATTGTCCATACATTCTAGAATTTACATGGAGAGCTCGAAATATAGTAGTCAGAGGATCTCATTGTTTATATGAAGAAAACAATCCTCGTAAGTAGTTACCTTGCCAATAATTGTGAACATTTATTTATTACAGTTTGATTAAAATATAGTAACACCAACTATTATAATTAATTGAAACTTTCTTTCAGTTCAATCCTATTCTTCATGTGCTAAATGCATTTTTTACAGAGAATAGCAAATTAGTTAATTCAGTAATTCCTTTCTTCTAGAATTATTAATAACTGTTCATTTTTCTTGTTTAAATAAAAGAAAAGTGTCTTAATGTTAATTAAACTCAAATATTTTCTTATTATTTTCTTTGCTAGATGCGGACAAAAATTTTGCGTTAGAAAAATATGGTCCACATTCAAGATGCTTTGATCATACAGACCAAATGTGGGAGGAAAGAACCTGTAAGCAAGCTCGACAGTGGAGACATTGGGGTTCTGGCTGTTATCAATATAAATGTGAAGCTGGAAGACTACATATTATGGTTAGTGTTTTGAATTAAATACACTATTGAATATTATATAGTAGATAAGTAATTAAATAATTTAATACTTCCCCCCTAGAATGTACAAAATAAGAGTATATTTATACATATTTCAGGTTGCGAATTACACTTATACTTGTTACCATGCTGGTCAAGAAATTGCTGTTCGAATAATACAAAATGGTTGGCTCCATAAAGGTGCTCTAATCTGTCCCCCATGTCGAGATATTTGCGAGGTGAGAATAACTTCCTATATTTTTAGTACGTTCAATATACACAAATGCCAATAAATCTTAAGTTGTAAGTTTTTCTTATTAATTCACATAATCATGTACACTTTGGACAAAAAATATTCACGTTTTTTGACTTTTTTTTAGGAGGAACTAAAAGAAAAGCACGAACATTGCAAGCCAGGAGATGAACACCCACCTGCAACCTACTATCATAGAGACAATTTATATTGCTCATCTGCAGGAATATTTGAAAACTGGACAATGTTTATCATTGTAATTTGTTTGTTAATTCCTAGATGATACGTTGCCGAATGTAGGTAATAGATTGATTAATATTCAGAATACATAAATTTATAAATTATGAAATAATTTGTTCCACTGTAAGACAAACTGATGTTCATCGTACTCACGCTTTGGATTTATGTTAAACATATTTGCAAATTATTATGTAATTAGAATAATAAGTTTAACGAGGTATTTGTTAAGTGCCAATAGTAGTAAGTACAGGGTATTTTATCTAAATTGCATATCTAGTGTTATTTCATTCTTATTTTTATTGTTAGTTAGAATGACAAGACAACTTTTATTTTTATTGACTCAGAACCGTTTGAAAAAACAGATTCTTCGATTTTAGAGGAAAAATAATGTAATTACAAAAAGTTTTAAAAATCACATAAGAACTTTAAGTACTGTGAGAAGTTCAAGAGACTGCCTTTGAAAGAAATAAGGTTGTCGTTGGCCGAACATTTTACTATAGCGCTATTTCTGAAAAACAAAATGATGGCTAACGATAGCAGTCCATCTATATTTAGATATGTGTATAGTTGATAATGAAAGGCATTAGCCCTTTGCCTTGTTATAACTTTTATTGTACGAGCATCTACTGAGCTTTGTACAATATATACTTCCATAGACATATTTAATAAAGGAAACAATAATACATACCTATTATATGATCATTGGCATAACTAATATCTTTGGAAAGAATTAGCCAAATATGTTTCTCTAGCAAGCATTACAATATGATGGAAAAAGAACTAGAAAATTATGGAGCAATATAGTATTTTCTAGAAAAAATGATTTAAGGAAAGCAGGCCCTACCATTCATACACATTAGGCATAAAGCATAAGTTCCAATTGTTATAGCAAATGATGGGGCCTTCTTTTGTCATATTTTTATTATCCCTAGGGAATCCTACCGTACCCTGTATTGTAATTATTTCAATAAATTCTGATAGAAGTTTAATTCACACTGGGCCCTAGGTAGTTATGCCAATGCAATACATCATACAATTCTTTTGGAAAACCTAAAAAGATGAGGGATCAAAGGTCGCACTGATACTGTAAGCCTCAAACAGTGTTTGCTGTAACAAACTATATTGTGAAAGTCTCGAAACTCTAATTATGTAATAATTCTGTACGGCATGAATGAATGAGTGAAAATGATAAAACTATCATAATAGTATCAGATTAATATAAAATAAAATATTATTATTATTATTACTATCATTATTGGTAATAGATTCAGTACTTGTGATAGCAATTGTAATAATAATAGTAATAGCTGAGTATAAAAGATTGATACAAATTTAAAGATAGGCTATAAAAGTTTCTGATTAAGGACTGCAATGTAATAAGTAAAAGAAGGAACATTAAAAACAATTATAATTCAGGAAAAGAGTACGAAGAAATTATCTTCTGTTAAAAGAAAACGATGTGCATACATAATTTAATAGTTAAATTGCTGCAAAAAAAGTAAATTAAATTATAATTAAATATTACATTTATTTTAAATTTAATTATAAAATATGATTGATAGTCATTTTATGATTGCTAATATACATTCCAATTTCCAATGATAACAGATCATTGCTTCGGCAATAAAGTAAATATATTTCAAATAGTAATTATGGACTGTTGAATGTAAACAGCTGATTGAAAGAACATTATAACCATTTCAAAGTTGTGAAAAACCATTTTAAATGAATCCTGTATTTTTTTAATATAAAAATAAAAAATATGTAAACCAATAATTAGAATGATACAAATTTAAGATGAAATATGATAGCTTAAGAAACTATTGTCCAACACTTGAGTTTAGAATTGAAATATCTATATACATAACATGCATATAAATATTGTGCAAATGTAAAAATACATGACTTGGTGTAAAATTTCAATCAAGTGAAGGAAAACAGAAGTAGATCAGAACTTTTTAGAAATTATAATAATAAATTTATTTCTATGTCACATTTCCCAAGACAAATTCAAATAAATTATAAGGTACCCTGTACTTATACTGAACTAATTACACCATATACTTGATTACTATTATGCTTTTTGTAGAGACATTGTGATTTTTCACATCAAAAGTACTATATAGTGTACAGTACCAATGTAAACTGCTAATGAAAGCCACTGAACTAAGTGAAGACAAGTGGTTAAAACATGTACATAAGTGCCAATTATATAATTGCCTATGTATTCCATACCAATTTAGTTGCTATTATATACATATGTTAACATGTTCAACAATTTAGTGGTTCATATCTGTTTCTTAATCTTTGTTATGTAAAATATATATTTCTTTAAGCAACGTATTATGTATTAAATAATTGCCTTATATTCTGATATCTTGTTATTATAATTTTATTTATTTGGCATTTTATCAACATATGCGTTATTGTAACTATTGTGCAGAATTGAAAAGAAATCACTTAAAACAGCACAAGAGCAAAAGGAGTACTTCACTTGTACTATCACTAAGCAGCCAGTCCAACCCACATTCTTTCAAAGTGTCAACTTTTCTACTCTATACAGAATGATTTGCTGCGTTTTAGAAATTTATCTTTCATATCATATGTTTTAATTATAAAGAAATCAAATCATTTGAAATAGGGTTTAATGCGTTTACTACCATCACACATCTGAAAATTTTCTCATTACAGATCATTTCTTTATTTATATAACAATAATAATATGAGTCCAAAATATCCATATTGTCTAAATTTTATATTAATTTTAAATGTTATGGTAGAATTTTATTTTCATTTGGATACTATACTGCTTTCGAAAATCCTTTTTCAACAAAGAATATGTGTAAACATAAGTTCTAGATGTGTTATGTTAAATTTTATGCACTGCCAACCTCATATTGTTAAAAGTACCCTTTAAAACCTATACAATAGCTCAATTTTTTTTTAAATCAATAATACAAATAAAATTATTATTCGTTATAAAAATTGAAAGTGTTGCATATAGGCATATAAACATATGATACTGGATACGTGTTGAACTATTAATATTTTAAATAATGATTTGTTTCTTGTTAATTTTCAATACGTCTCTCTCTGTTTGTATTTAAATTACATTTTTTCATTGTTTTATAAAATTACTTGCCAAAATGAAACTGTTTTTATATGAGAAGGCATACTTTCTTGTTAATATCCTGTTAGTTTAGAAAAAAATTAATATAAAGTCAATATTGCCTTAACGACTCATGTTATAAGCTGTTAAATACACTGTTATAATAATTATCTTAATATTAAATAATATTTATCTATTATGCTAGAATAGTGCCTAATAGAGTTTAAATTTGAAGACATTGGAATTTCTTTACACACAATGGAGAGACTTAAGTATATAAACCTTATTTAGAAAAATAGCTTTGTGCTATATATTTACTTCCAACTTCAACATTCTGACAATTTTATTAAATTACTAATATGTCCACAAAAATTTTGAATACAAAACTAGTTTTCGATACTATTTTAAAGTAAAGATATACATAACAAAGAGCACTTGAATAATGTTTTAACAGATTAGTAACATAATTTAATTTTAGAATTCTTATATATCCCAAAATACACTTATAAGTTATAATTGAATTTCCGTTTTTATTTAACAGTATATTAGCAGAAAAGTATACCACTATGATATACAAATTGATTTTTAAATAATATTCACAAAACAATGGGAGAAAATTAACTTTTAATATTTGGATTTAATAAATTTAGATACTGCTTCAAGTGGCACTTATTTCAATAAAAATTAACATTTAATTACTGTATTGTTAATTGATGTTTCCTTAATTAAGTAAAAACTGAAATTATACATATAGATTCAACCATCTTAATAAAAAAAATAATATATTTACATAAAAGAATATAATTTTAATCACAAAAACCATTTTGAATAATTTTGTAACTGCAGAACAGAAATTATATACAAATAGAGGTTTATAAGAATGTTAATGATTTCTTTGAGGAATAAATTTTTGTATAAAAAGAAAAGAAAATTTAAGCATACAATGCTTAAATATTACTTGAAAATATTTTTAACAAATATAAAAATATTAAATTACTTAGCTGATGGTATTACAAAAGCCATTATAATAATAATATATGCATATTATATTAGTTATAATTCAATCTAAATTATATACTTATATACTTCTTATTCATATTACTGTATTTAAATTAGTCATTTTTATATTTAATACATTAAACCATATTGTAGAACTGTTGAACAACAAATTCCAAATTTTCTAGCAAACAATGTAATTTTATTTTCACAACTAAATATAAGCACATACCATGTCATATCCAAAAATGTGAATAGAAATATTATAAGTGAACAGCAAGAGAAGCTATCATGTTTTTCAAAATGCTGTGTATTTGATAAAAATATCAGTCAATATAAATAAAATTTATAATAAATAAGTAGTAGAAGATAAGATGTACATAATTAATAAATGCGCATTTAGTAAATAAGAAAGTTTAGAAAAATTTTATGCGAATTATGTTTCTCAAAAAGTTTCTTCTGCATGGTGACGTAAACAATAAGTAGAATAATTTCGTTATCTTTTATTATTCAAGCATTTTACGTAAAACGAATCACTTTCTGGCAATGACCTAAACAATTGTATTCTAACACATATATGATATAGTGCAATGGTTTCCGAATTGTGCCACAGTGTCCTGAGGCAATAATATTCATCATCAGTACAATATTACTATCAAATAAGAGTTTATTTTATAGGTACAACTTTGAGAAATATCATGCCATTTTTAAAAAATGTTTAATCTGGTTTTCAAGTAAAAAATTACTATGTATGTGTAGATTAAAATACATTATATTTATTTATGAAATAGTCAAATATTGGCAGATTCAAAGGTCTCTGTTATATTTCATTAGCAACAAAATTTAAAGTCAATGTCAATAAGTGGTCAGTTTGACATAGAATGGTACTATTATACTTGTTCATTAATCAAATAGAAGATTTTTATGCATTGTAATAATTTTTAACATTCTGTTCTCAGAATATTCCATGAAACTGAAAATAATGTAATTAAGGATATGTAAATAATAAATAATTGGACATAAAGAAATTAAAAATAGTATGTGCTGAAAGTGTAATAATTTATGACCTTAAAATCCTTATAATCTACAGAAAGTTACTATCTTCAAAATAAAATAGAATAAAATAATTTTAGAACTGAATAGAAAATGAGAATTACTATAAATACTATTTCTCTACTATGTACACTACATTTGAAAGTCATCATTTCTCCTACTAAACTATGTTTTATTATTTTATATGTAAAAACTTTTCGTTCAAGTTTTCAAAAATCATTCTTACAGATGTTTTCTATTGAAAAAAGGAGTTGGTTTACAAAATTTGATCAATATTCAATAAAACTACACGAATTATATGTATTTAAGCATACACTTACCTTTATTATTCGCGGCATCATTTTCAGAATATCGTCAATAAGGGAATGATATAAAAATGGTAACAATTTTTTTTCGAGTTGCTAAAAATTGTTCTCGCAGATTTTTCCTTTCTTAAAACTGAGCTTACTTGCAAAATTTGACGTGATTTAGAGCATGATGGTTTTCCGCAGAAAAACCAAAATTACTAACAGTTACTGACGCAGTTTTGTACCGAAATTGCATCTGTAGGTAAAGAAGAATTCCAGAACTACCATATCAATTGGAACCAATTTCAACACAACCCATAATGTTTGAAATTAAAATTCAAAGTACTGGTAAATATTTGTTATTTGAAACGATAAACAGAATGTGTTTACAATATTTAAAAAAAAATGCGACAGAGAAACGGGTGAGAGTTGAAAAAGAAACATGAATTTCAATGCATAGAATACCAATTTAACGAACGTTTACTTAAAAATTTTAAATAATATTAAAAAGAAGATAGTTTAGGATAACGTGAAGTAACTGTGACACGGGGTAACAGACAACAAATTATATTTAACAAAACAATAACAATAATAATAACAATAACAAATAACAATAATAAATCTGTACAAAACTGTGAACTTGAACTCTAAATGACGGTAAATAAGCGCGATGTGTAAGCTGCAATGGTCAGAACGATTCTGCCGAATTTTCCAACGGCTCTTACAAGGAAGAAAATAACCACATGGCCCTAAAAAGGCAAACAAGGACCTACGCGTAAAAACGTTCGAGCAAGCCTAAGTCTTCAAGGACCTCCAAAACTTTCTACGCGATTTATGGCTTTACTGCCACAATAGTATAATTTATCATTATCTTTTAATATCATATAAAAATGTAATAATGAAATAAAATTTTGTAATACATAAAAATTAATAAAAATGATAAATTTTAATATTTGTAATAATAATTTGTTAAATAAACAATTGAAAAATTAAAAATTTCAATCAAAATTGTCGCTATTACAAATACAGCTATGGATGACGTAATTGCCCGGTATTGGTGAATTACATGATAGCTGATTGGTCCACGGATCACTTATCACTGATAATTTAAAGGTCATAGGTGATCAGTATTGTTCAAGCTACCTGGTATTAGAGCACTGATATGATTGGTTTGCGATTCGCCAATCATTCTTAACTTAATAAGTGTTACAAGTGTTCAGTACTGTTCAAGTTGCCGAATTGTTCGGATCGACCGTGACATCTACTACCGGTACGAGTCAAAGTGTCAATTAACCTAATATGTGTTCATCCCAGTGTCACCTAGTCTATTAGTGCAATTGTCTAGTGTGTTTTATCAATTGTTTTTTAATAAATACGGGGGTGTATTAATACGATTTATGGTGTGGTTCCTCATATGTCAAAGTGCTTACCGGGGTGTTTTAATTTATAATTGTGCATGTGTATACGTATGCATTAGTGTGTTTTATAGTGTTGTTATACAAGTGTTTTATCATTATTTTTGAAATATTTTATCGGGTTTTATGGTATTATTACGTACGTGTTTTTGCAAATTTTTGTGAACGTTTTAATTTATAATTGTGCATGTACATGGTATGTCCTGAAAGTAATGTCAGTAAGTCGATTAAAAATCATTTATTGAACTGCTCGTTACAAATGATTAAAAATCTTCAAAATAGGCTCCTTCTGCGTCAATACATCGGCTCCAGCGAGTCTTCCAGCTCTCGAATGCATTGCTGTAGGCCTCCTCCGGAATTTCCTTCAATGCCGCCGTACAAGCTCTTTTGATTCCGTCTACTGTCCCAAAAATCTTGCCTTTCATGGGTGTTTTGACTCGTGGAAACAAAAAAAAGTCGGGGGGAGCTATGACCGG